ACGAGCAGACATGGAGAAGCAGACCCGCGCGTCGCACAACTCTCAGACACAAGGTAAGACGTTCGAGTTGTTTTGAAATTGCAGTTTAGTGAAGCACGATTATATTATTGTGAAGACATCTTGTAATAATTTGTCAGCGATAGATACTAAATATTGCGACGGAGCTAGATAAATAAAAAAAAAAAATTCGACGGGTTCGCGTACCGGGCAGGTCAAGAACAAGGAGTCGTACAACTCCCTGGTCAAGAACCACCTTTCCGCTTCCGTGGGACGCCACCACCCCATGATCAGGCGTCAGATGCGGCTCCTAAACGGTGGGGGAGGATAGATCAGATCCACCAACCATAGGCCAAAGGCCTAAATCCCATTTGCCACATCCATGATTTACTCATGCCAGGCCACGAGTTCCCAATTAACTGTGGGTCGCAGCACGGTTGGAAAAATCCTTCCGCTTCCAAGCAGGACTTGAACCTGGTACCTCTCGTTCATTAATCATGGTCTTAGACCAACCCAGCTAGATACATTATAATAAATGAGAAAAAAAGAAAAATCCTATCCACCCAGCGAGGTGAACACTAATGAAACATACGATTTACTTCTAAATTATTATTATTATTGAATTCTATACTATGTGAAACAATGTACCCTACGATTGACATCAGATCTATATTGATAGTAGTAGTAGTAGAGAGAGAGAGAGAGAGAGAGAGAGAGAGAGAGAGAGAGAGAGAGAGAGAGAGAGAGAGAGAGAGAGAGAGAGAGAGAGAGAGAGAGAGAGAGAGAGAGAGAGAAAAGAAGCATACCGTTTGAATTTTTATCATTCATTCCGAGTCGATATCATCCACCTCTCTGGGCCTCTTCCGGGCATAGGCCGACGTGGCGCTGTTAGAAGAATTAGACTCCTCGTCGAACTCTACCTTTATCCGAATGTTGAATCGTCTTCTGGCGTGGACACGGAGTCGCACAGCTGGGCTTGTGAATATCTTCCCTGAGTCATTTCGAATAAATATGTTGTCATTAATCGTCATGATGAGCCGTACGAAGTTGCCAACTGACATCTTTTCACGTTGGTGGTTATGAGTGTCTGAAGCTCATTTCGTAGTAGAGCGTTGAAGTACGTGAACATCTCTGTCTTGCCGTTCTTGATGTGTATCAACATACCGCTGTCCGCGCTCGATAACTCTTCGAAGTCAATCACGTTCTGCCCGCATACGTCGATTCTGGGACACGTTGCCCCCAGAAAGGTTCCCTGGGATAATCGGCAAAGAAATGTAGCGGCTTCCATTGGGTTCCTACCATCACGGTAGCAATCATGTTGTTCGATCAAAAAGTCTACCTGTGCAGCATCATGCAACTGGTAGAGGGAAACCCTATCTCTGATGTCGACATTCACTAAATAGTACGTACCCATTTTGCTAAAGATTACGGAAAGTGGGATGATATTCTGAACACTGAACAGGTTCAAATCCAGTGAATTGTCCGGTAGGGTGTCCGGGAGAGGCGCTGATGCTGCCGCCACCACCGCAGTGTCAAACGCAATGTCTGCAGTCACGTTGTCGGCAGTCCTCCACTTCTTGAGGAATGCGATCACCAGTCGAGCCAATTCAGTCTCGGGGAGGTCTTGCACGGTGTCGTGTTCCCTTTCACAAAAACGTGAGTCCACAAGCATCAGGGGGATGGCTGAAAGCCACGCCTTGAATTCACACTTCTCCCTGTTGAATGATATAGTTGAAGGATGCAGATAGACCTGACACTCTTCGTTCATCGGGAAGTTGGGCATACCCTTGGTTGGCTTGAGATACACTGCAGTCGCACTCTTCCCTTGGTACATTGCAGGGAAGATGTTACTCCGTATCCTGTTGATATGCGGAGATCTCACGGCACGTCTCAAAGGTGTTGAGGTCTTCAGGAAGAATTGAATGACATCGTCTTGTGAAGCCTGGACGTACAGCTTAAGTTGACCAAAGCGTCCTTCACATACCGTGCCATTGACAAGCATGCCCGGTAAATCACCGCGCGTATAGTAGAAATCGGTGTCAGGAGCAACATGATAGTCGTGAGCGGTCTTGCTGTACATTGCTTGAACACACTCTGCTGCCCCATCCGTAATAATGGTGGCGACACCTGGTAGTATGGTAGGACGAGGAGATGGCATCTTGATCTTAGGCAGAGGCTCCAGATTCGGATTATGGCTAGCACGACGCTTGTAGAGACCGGACTTCTTTATCGTCTTGATAGCGAACGGGTCAATACCCAAACAGTCCACAACATCTTCACCAGCAACAACAGCATTAGTGGCCATCGTGATATCAGTCGAGCACTCGAGAAGAGAGAGAGGGAGAAGGCTCAGTGAGCAGTGAAACAACAAAGGTGGTTGTGATCGAATGGAGGACTGTGCTTGCCCATTTATACCCTTTTGAGCGGCGTGAGGTTGAAATAACATACTATGGGAGGTGACGACCTTGGAGAACACGCTGAAATTGTTCAAGATTCATCCAAT